AGTTTGTGTTCCTTACTGCTTCATGACCCCCCCTCCCCCGCCTCACTACATACATGTACATATTGGAGCTGCATGTTAACAAACAAAATTCTAAATGTTTAAAAATTAAAAAAAAGAAAGAGAACAAACAAAACAAGAATTCAATTACTGTAAATTGGCTTGATTAAATAGATGAAATTAAGATAATAACGCCAGATGTTTCTTTTTTTTTTTTTATTGTTTTATTTCGATGAGCCCCTGTGACGTACATATTGTCGTTTTGTACATATTGTCGTCGGCGACAATATGTACCTACCCTCACTGCACATATTGTCGTCCATCGGTATATATTGTCGCCGGCGACAATATGTACCGAGACGAGCCTTATTTTCTTCCTGCATAATGGACGACAAAATGTACAGTCAAGCACCAGCACAAATTGTCGTCGGCGACGATATGTACAGTCAAGGTCGGCATATATTGTCGTCGATATATTGTTTTGACGAATACTAGTATTTACTTGAGCAGGAAAGAGATATTTACATACACACACACACACGGAGGTAGACAAACAGCATTACTAGCAATGCTGTAGGGAAAAAACTTTTTTGGGCAGTAAATTGTGTCCAGGATTGTTGTACATCACTATGATGTCAAAATACCTTAATTCTTGAGATATCTGATAAATCAGCCTATTCTTTTTTCTTGTAAAATATACTTTGAGATTGAATACACGTTTTAGTTTTTTTGTTCAGTAGTAATGATTTTTTTGGAAATTATTTTTTGCGTTTTTCTTATATATTATTATGTACCTATATAATTGGTGTTGAGGTTCACATTTTTAGATCACCTGAGCTGGAAGTTCAAGTGAGCTTTTTTGATCACATTTTGTCTGACCGTCCCTCTGTCTGTAAACTTTTCACAATATCAGCTTCTTCTCAAGAACTACTTAGTTAATTTCAACCAAACTTGCCACAAGGCATCAGTGGATAAAGGGGATTCACGTTTGTTCAAATGAAGGGCCAGGACCTCTTTCAAGGGAAGAAGTAAATGGTTAGTAAAAATTAAGTGACATCTTTTAAAAATCTCAAACACCACTGTGTCAGAAATGATGAAACTTCATTATGAGGTGTAGATTCAGTTTTACATGTATTCAGATCATGTCCCTCGAGGAGAGGGTGTGGCTACAATAGGTGATCAATTTTTTTTCAAAGAATATTTAGGGGAAAAAAATCCTATAATTTTTGTGCTGGGTCAGAAGAGATGATACTTATGTGAAAGCTTCGTTTTATAGCGTACGATCAATTTTGCGGAGCTGGCACGAAAAAAAAAACCCTCACTGCTCAATGACCATGAGTACAAAGTATAGGTCTAAATTTGCAGCCCTCCACCGGCAAGTGGTGACGTCTACGAATGAAAAATTCACGAGATGGTCATTATAACAACAAAGACAAAATCATTTTTGTTCAGATTATGACCCCAGGGAATAGGTTGGGATCACAATGGGTGATTAAAGACTTACATAGGAATATATACAGAAAATCGTTAAATATCTCAAAAACCAGACAGATGTAGGACCGGCGCACCCCCCCCCCCTCCTTGGTTTAATTTTTTTGTCTGCTTTGGTAAATTCTGTTTGATTAACTTGTATATACTCTCAATTTAGTCCACATATAAAATTTCATAATTTAATAATTTACTTAACATATACAGTAACACACCTTTACATGCAAATGACTTTTTAAAATTTTTAGACTGTCAAAAAAAAAATTCCGAACCCCCTCCCCCCTCTTTTGTCTGAAATTTCTGGATCCACCACTGAGAACAGCAGTAGGCCCATGAATAGTGATACTTATATGGAAGTTTCCTCAGATTCAAGCATCTTCAAATCAAACCGGGCCTAGACTGGGGCCACAATAAGCGATCAAATTTTTACATAGGAATATATGGGAAATTTCTTTAATAATTATCTTCTCAAAAAGAGATCAAGGCAATGTAACAGAGCAAAACAAAGCAATGATTAGTCATATTTATATGGATTGTTGATTGATTGATTATTATTATACCTCTACTGATTTTTTCCCTATATAACATTAGATCGTTAGATGTGACTATTTCCCTAGAAATCATTAAGAATGGACTAATCCCCGTGTGTTACTCAAGTGAGCTAGTCCCCGCTTCGAAAGCTAATTCCCAGTTATCCGCAATCCTCTAGGTTTTACATTAAAATTGGTATGATATGTGAATTGACTAATCCCCGTGTGTTAGTTCAGTGAGTTAATCCCAGCTTTGAAATCACGCTATCTGAATCCTCTAAATTTGTATCGGTATAATAAAACAGTTAAAAGCAAATCATTGCGGGAGTTAGCAAGATTCCAGTTCCCCTCGACCAGGACTATTTCCCTCGACTTCGCCTCGGGAAATAGTCCTGGCCTTGGGGAACTGGAATCTTGCTAACTCCCTCAATGATATACTTTAATTGTATATTGTTATTTAACACCGAGTTGGCAATATTTCAGCCATATTTCGACGATAACATTCAGTGTATATGACCATTTTTGAAGTTCATAGTTTCTCTGGCCATATTTATATGGACCATTGTCGTGCATTGCCATGCGACATGTTCTGATGGATGACAATATGCACGGTGAGGGTAGGTACACATTGTCGTCGGCGACAATATGAACAAGACGACAAAATGTTCCGTCACAATCACGCTGCATGAAATAGCATACGAAACACGTCAGTGTGATATACACCCCAATTACATTCACAAAACTACCAACAAACAACAAAGGAAGTCCTTAAGCAACAATATCTGTGGGGCTACAATATGTACAGTGAGGGTGAGGCACATAATGTCGCCAGCGACAATATGTACATGTGTTACTTTTCAGCCGGCGACAATATGTACCGATGGACGACAATATGTGCAGTGAGGGTAGGTACATATTGTCGCCGATGACAATATGTACATGTACAAAACGACAATATGTACCTTCACAGCCCCCCACTCCTCTCCGTACTCTAAGGGCCGGTTGTAGCGATTTTTATTTCAGTAATATACAGTGTTCTCTCTCTCTCTCGTAAAGCTATTTTACTAATTTTCAGCATCCAGGTGGCAGCAAATTACATGAACTTGTACTCTTCATGGAACGTACCAAAGAACTATCACCTTTCCAAATTCAAAAATTAAAAAAAAAAAAAAAAAAAAAAAAGAAGAAGAATTGAATTTCTCATTGATAACGTGCCCAGGCGAGGTACATGTAACTTAAGGGGCATCAAATGTAGGGGGAGTATATACTCAGGTATACCGTGACCATGGAGACAGTATACATCAAGCTAGCAAGTGTCAATTAAAAAAAACCCACTGCAATTGCTCTTAGCACCCGCAATATCTTCGAAACAGGTGGATGATTACCGACACGTGATGACCTTGGCTTCACTTTGAAACAATAATTATTAAAGTGTTAAAATTAAATAATTATAACAATTACAAAGTTCAAATACAGGTACCTATGTAATGAAAAAATATATGTACGTTTTCGTATTAAGGTATCTTTGCAAGTTCAATTTACTAATGTTGGAATTACGTGTACTTTTCATGCACAAGTACAAAACGTACCCGTCTAGTATTTTTTTACACCCATATAAAGCATTTTGAAAATTACATGTAGTACATGTAAAAGGTTCGTGAACATGTAAACCTGTATAATTATATATATCGACGCAAAGGAAAGTGATAAGCATTTTTGCGTTTTTTTTTTTTTTTTTTTTTTTTTTTTTTTTTTTTTTTTTTTTTTTTTTTTTTGACTTGCAACTAGTTCAAAAATTCAAAAAATATACAATGTAAGGTCTACGTGTAGGATAATTAGAATTGACAAAATAATCTTTCCCAATATACATGTATTTAAATCAAGCTATTTATTAAATTTTGGAAAAAGATTAATCAAAAAAAAAATATAGTAGTTAAAAAAAATGAGATTTTTTTTCCTCCAAATTACGTATTGACATAATGCACATTTATACTGTACAGTGTGCATTTAATTTTTTCATGATCAATTATTGAGATCGATAATTTCGATGGTGATCTGGATAAATTAAAACGTGCATGTAAATTGAAATAATAAATAAAAGATAATTAAGTTAAAGCACGTACATGATCTTATACTGTATCTTGAGATAATAAAATTCTAAAATTTATCGAAGACCAGTTTTTTTTATTTTTATTTTTTTTTAGTAACAATTGTTACAACTATTATTATCTTCTTTCTTTATACTATGAATTAAAGTACTTATTGTCTGATAAATTTACGCAATGTACAATGTATATTTATATATTAATGGATTTTAAAAATATAAAGAAAATAAATAAGTAACTATACATGTAACATGCTACCTGGATTATAAAAATATATAATGTATTAATAGATTTTACAAATAAAAAATACTGAAAATAGATGTGTAAATATTGCATGTTGTCTGGAGAATTAAAATATATAAATGTAAAATCATGTTTAAAAATCATGTTAATAATATTTTTACACTGTACATTCACACGCTTTGCTTGTACAATGTTTAGATTACAAACTGGCATGTTGACTGGTCGATGCGCTGATGGTCAATGCATTTTATCACTTATCCTGATTGACAGACCTATTCGGCATGTTGATTGGTCGACGCGCTGATGAGTTAATTGCTAATCCTGATTGACAGCTCTGTTACGCAACACTGAACGCGCGTTCGCTTTCTGGACCGCAACTGAATTTGGGTTCGCTTTCGGCGTTCGCTCTGGGTCCGCTCTGGGTTCGCTGCGGGTTCGCTACGGGTGCGCTCCGGGTTCGCTCGGGGTCAGCACTAGCGGACCCCAAGCGAACCCGGGGTGCGCTTTGGGTTCGCTTTCTGTTAGGTTGTGTCTGGTCGGTACTGTAGTAATGTGTTCTTTTAGTAAATATACTATGGAATAAAGAAAGACATCATGTCCTTATGTGAACACATTACTGATATTCCTGATTACTTACAGTGTGTGTAAATTTAACAAACTGTCGAAGGCATTTTCTTCCACCGTGGTGATTTGATTCCTTCCCAGATCCCTGGAAAGTGTTCAATTAAATTATCATCAACAGTATTTAACTTATTTGTTATCAACAATCATTTTAATTTCACGTCGATCAAAGGGAAAATTCAACCACGATTATATCCATCATAAAGGTGACTGAAATTATTGTATTATGACTCAGCTTCAATTTCTGTCGGTTTGATAAATTTTAACTTTTCCATTTTTTTTTCATTTATTTATTTATACGTTTATTTATGAACAATTCATTCATTCATTTTTGAGCAAAATAATGTTTTATTACAAACATTTCTCTTAAAGAAAATCGTAAGTAATAGAAACAATTATATCAGCATAAATTCCTGTAACTTTTATAACTTTTTAAATTAGAATAAAATATATTAAGTCTGCGATAAAAAAAAACAACATTAATTATAAAAGAGCTTGCAATGTGCTTATAAAAATATAAGGGATTTGACCATGCTCATTTCATTTGCAAATTTCGTGTTATATATACGAGGGGCATTTGAAAAGATCTGAGAACTGTTTGATAAAATATTAACCGTTTAGCAAAAATTATTTAGTTTGATATCATGAAAAAGAGATGGAAAGTTTGCACTTATTTCGATGTCACTTTCTTATTCTTATGACGTAATAACTCCGAAAATGACGTCAGAATCTCAAATTTTTAGCATACTGAAAAGTCGGTAGAATAAGACTGAAAGAATGGTACTCTATGGAACGCCGCAGCTGCCTTATATGGAGAACATTCATTATATGTTGATACTTTAACATTATATGTTGATACCTCAACATTATATACTGAAAGTTTGTCATTATATGCTGATACTTTGACATTATATGCTGATACTTCAGCATTATAGGCTGATACTTTGTCATTATATGCCGATACTTCAACATTATATGCTGATACTTTGACATTATAATTACATTCATTGAACTAGTCAGATGTTTCTCATTGAGTGTATATATTGTGAAGTTTTACAAAGTACATTAAGTTGACTTTCTCATGGAGTGTTATGTAATTCTCATTACAAAAAGTGTTATACTGCATTAGTAGTTTCGTCATTTTGTTAATAAATGACCTTTTTTCAATTCAAACTGTGTTTATCTTTTTGCTGCAAATCAAACAAAGCTAATAGTTTTGCTTGGGCGAGATGACAAAAATGCTAATACTTCAACAATATATGCTGATACTTTAACATTATATGATAATACTTTACTATATTGTGCTTTAAAAATAGAAAAATAGGTAAAACATCTGGATTGTGATACCAAAATCGTCCAAAAGGCATGTAACAGAACGTGTGTGAGAATACAATCTTAGACAGTTACATCAAATCAGGTGGATTACTGCAGGTTGTTCGACGTATACACGCCTTTTCTCTGTTAAACAGGTCTTTTAGGCCAGATTTTAAACGTTCAAGTGGTTGAAGACATTTTGATTGTTGTTCACATTCATCATTTAACGGAAATTTAACGTTGTATCTTAAAATATGTAAGTGTTATGCCAAAATCTTTATAGGATGCTTCAATGCATTTCTATTAATCCTTTTGATGAAAGTTCAGCAGATCCTTGAACTTAATGTTATAAATAAATGTATAAAGTTTGTCTACTTAATAAAGTTGGTAATTTTAAGCAGTTTAAAGGACAGTGGTAGATATATGTGTGAAAGAGTCCCCCCCCTCCCCCTCCCCCCCAAAAAAAATGAAGAATAATGAAGTAAAAAGTAAGAGGGTGAAAGAAAGAAAAAAATTGAGACAACTTTTATGTTCTTGATATTCAATAGAGAAAACCTGAATCTTGAGAAAACCTTAGCCCTTATATGTTCATTTTTACTACAAGTACTTTGACTTTATGTTGTCATTAATATCCCCCCATCTTGAAATCCTGTATACGTCCCTGGAATATGTTTACTGGCTTACAAGTTACATAAATTCTGATAAAGTTCAAAATATTTTGTTTTGAGTTTATTACTTTTTAATTTTTTTTGGGAGGGGGGTTGGATGGCAAGATTACAACTGCGTAAATATTCATTCAGTTCAAACTAACTTCATAAGCTCAGTCTCGATGATTTTACAGTTTTAGAATGATCGCATGCATGACATTGGATGTAAGACCAGAATAAATAGCCCAGTTAAAAATGCAATGGCATCTAGATTCTGGAAAATGTTTTTTTGAGTTATAGGTAGCCTAAATTACTATGTAGATGTCATAATGTTGAATAAAATCCCTGAACAATCCCCTTAATACCGATTTGAAAATTACATATAAAAGTGCAGATCTATCAAGAACTTAAAGGTGCTTAGACACAGATTTGAAATTTATATTTTCTCAAATTTTCTGTATAATATCACAACTTATATGTTGCTATAGCATTTCACACGAAAATAAAATTAAAAACTTTTTCAATCTGGAAATTATTGAAACTACGAATTTCGGGAGGCGTTTGATTAACACATCTTTTCACTTTCACAATTTTTAACTTTAGCCTTAATACTTAAGAAAAGTAGCAATTTTGTTGTGTATTAATGAATAATATTACATCTATAATCCAGAAAATTCAGAGTAAAAATGTGCAAAATCAAAACCCACTCACTTAAGTATTGTCAGTCCGTGCTCAGTGTTGTGTAGTTGTGTACAGAGTTTAACAAATTGAATACACCCGTGAAACGTAAACTGTTTTTGTAAACAGGGCACGAGCTCTGTTGTTGTTAATGTTTACCTTTAAAAGGGTGTGTCCAATTGTTAAACTCTGCACACACCACTGAGCACGGACTGACAATACTGGTGAGAGGATTTTGCTTTCTACATTTCTACTCTGAAATTTCTGCATTATAGTTTTAACATTTTTCATTAATAAACAACAAAATTGCTGCTCTTCTAATGTAATAAGGATAAAGTTAAAATTTGTAAAAGTGCAAGGATGTGTCTATCAAACGCGTCAAGAAATTCAAAGTTTCAATAACTTCCAGATAAAATAAGATTTTTATCAAATTTTCATATGAAATGCTATAGCAACTTATAAGTCATGAAATTATACAGAAAATCTGAGTAAATATTAACTTCAAATCTGTGTCTAAGCACCTTTAAGTGCTGAAGCGTGGTTCTGAGGCCGGAATGTGCGTGTGTGGGGGGGGGGGGGAGGAGGAGGAGGGGGCTATCATATTATGGAAATTAATAATTTGTCCTTGAAAATGCTAACAATAAATCAGTATGTCCTCCACTGGGATGTCTTTTGCCTGATGGTAGCTCCACCCCTCTCCCCCCAAAAAATAGAGTTTTCGAGTTTGGATAGACTTTTTTGTTCAGTGTATGTGAAAATAAATAATCTGTACCTGGTCGATCTAGAAAATGAATAATCTATCATTCACGTAGTGACATGAAAATAAATAATCCGACTCGAAAAAAAAAATTGCACCCCCAAACGAATCATGTGTGTCCACTAAATTGTACTATTCTGCTTTGATGTCCTGTACCATTAATGATTTGAAAATAAAACAGCCAAGTTTTATTACCATGAAGAGTTCCTGAACTTCCAAAATATCTTAAAATTTTTGAGCATTGCAAGCGCTTTTTGCAAAGCTATCTTTGTTTAGTTCACTCTCAATATGATATATTTACTCTCTATCCCTTCCCAAATACACCAGTATACTCAAGACTGCTCACACGTGCCCCCTTCCCCCTTTCGTCCCATCAATTTGCCAATACATGTACATGTATACATACTAAAACTAGGCAATTGAAAACATTTTTTTGTGTGGATTTTTTCTCTTGTCAAAGAATTTTAGTGTGACGATCCCGATGTTTAATCTATTTTTAAAGCACCAAATTGTGAAGTATCAGCATATAATGACAAAGTATCAGCATATAATGTTAAAGTATTAGCATATAATGTTGAAGTATCAGCATATAATGTTAAAGTATCAGCATATAACGTTAAAGTATTACAGTGGCTGCAACGTTATTGTTGACAACTTACACGAACAATCACGTTACACGAACGATTCCGCAAGATTAACGCACGATAAAATCTGTTACACGAACGATCCTTCACGTACACGATTCTACATGTTACACGTTCTTACACGATTGCTAACGCAAACGCACTATTCTTCACGCAAAATAGTGCAAATTCTTTAGGAATGGATATTTTCAAAACGAAATTGGGCTTAATACTTATTTTAGATTTCAAATAATTATTGATATTATGTCATCGACTTTGAAAAATGAAAAAAAAAAATAGAAATGGATATTTCTCCAACTAAATACATGTAAGACTTATTAATTATTTTCGATTACAAATAATTATCTACGTAATTCTCCGACCTATGAAAACTGATTTTTTCGTTCTTTCAGAAGATGTACGTGTAGGTGGACCGTGAATTTTGATTGAATTGGATTTCATAATATGCAGAAAGGCATAAGTTTGAAAAAACATGGCATGAAAATGAATTAAATTATAAGTTATATCCATGTTTCCATTTATGAATCTCTAAAATCAACAATTATTTTACAAATCATTTATTTGCAGAAATTATAAAAATAATCTAAACTAAGCTCCAGAGATAAACACTGATAAACGAAACCCCGACAATCATGTCGTGTACATGTACATTTGCCGACTAAATATTTATGTAAGCATTGAGAATTGTTTATTTATTTATTTGTAAAAATATCTATTTTTGATCTATTGATTTTAAAAATATTTTGACCATAATTAGCAGTAAACATAATTAACATCAGAGAAAAATCCTTAAACATCTAAGTACGGTTTATCACAAAAAATCACGCTATCTGACGAGAACACAATATTGTACGACTTACTATATTGCTTATTTCCAAGCGATAATTAGTTCGTTCTGTTTTCAAGTATGTAAACCGCGCTTCATTTATTTTATTTGGATTAAAAAAAAAAACAGACTAGCGAAATGCTTGTATAACAAATAACATTCCGATAAAAACTTACAAAACGAAATTTAAACGTTTCTTAACGCACGATCACGCACGATTAA